AATGCTTGTTTTTTGCCCCCTTTTGGCCCCTTATTCCTAAAATTTCGAAAAAATTAACCCCAAAATCAATCCCATCATCGACCCTTTGTGATATGGAATCTTGTAGTACAATGTCAAAGAGATCCATACAATAACACACAAGTTATGTCTGGAAGTTACAAAAATGCTTATTTTCGGCCCCTTTTTGGCCCCTAATTATTCAACTGTTGGTACCATAACCCCCAAAATCAATCCCCACCTTCCTATTGTGGTATTGAACCTTATGGTAAAATTTCATAGAGATCCATTGACTTAAACTAAAGTTAGAGTGCGAAAACCATTGTGTATTCGGACGACGACGCCGGACGACGACGACGACGACGACGACGACGACGACGACGACGCCAACGTCATACCAATATACGACCACAAAATTTTTTTGCGGTCGTATAAAAAACTCAAATTGAAAGTGTTTTCTTTCAATAATTGAAACTGGTCCAAATAAATATAATTTATTGCATCAAATTGCACAATTCTATTTTAAAAAACACTCAAATGTTGACAATGATCCAAAATACCGGTAAGTAGTTCACGTTATAATGACTAATAATTTGTATCCTGCACCATAAAGCACTTTACCTTAAATTACATCAAATTTAACAAAGTTGTACTCGATAAACAAGTTCAAAGTCCTGTCAAACATCAAAAACTTCTTATGTTTCAACTTTTTTACTGGCCCCACTGGTAAAATAGAATAGTGAACCTAGTTTTTCTACTTTCCAGTCATGCAAGGGCTTTTTCAGGACAACCTTCTACATATATGTTAGTTAGACCCTATGCCATACAACAGGTTCAAAGTCAGCAAACTTTTCCATTCTTTTAAAATGGCAGCAGATGTAGCTACATGTAAATTATTAAGGAGTCTGATGAGGAGAGGGCGATATAAGGCTACTTTTTGGCTCTTTAAAATTGAAAATAAAAGAATAATAATATATCTATTAAATAACATCCTTCAGACATATCAATTAATGTTCACAAAACATTGGTCATTTCTCTGTTAGACATCACAATTTATATTTTTGAAATGTGTCTGACATATTTACATTGGGCTTCAAACTTCATGCATTAATAAATAAATAAGTGCAAAAAAGCCTCATTTTGAAATCTTGTATTAATACTAATTTTAAAATATCTACATGTAGGTGTATGTACATGTATGAGCCAAGGCTTTCCTCAAAAAAGATATTTCTGTAATGTGTGTGTCTGATTATATCAAAGTGTTCATTTTTAATAAAATTACCTCTATTTTGAAAGGTTTGAATAATTTGACCATTTTTGAAAGTCCAGGGGTCAAACAATGACTCTAATCATACCTCTTCCTTTCCATACAAATGATTGTGTGTGTATTATAATGAGTCTATTGTCCGTTTGTCATTGAAATTTTGCCTTGCCATACCTATAAAACGTTTGTTATTTTCAGGTTTTTATGTTCAATTAAAAATTAGAGATTTGCTGATTTAAGCTGCTTTGCCCATTCCTGTTTTCTGTTTCCATCTGAAACCTTTATAGATGTCTGCAACAGATCTTTGCTTTCTCTGGCTGATTTAAATTTCTATATCTAAGGTTATGGATAAATCTATACTATAGACTGTGATATTCCTCTTTTGCATGTTTTGTGCAAAATATATTATTCAACAACACAGATTTATATTTCTATTTATAGGTATCATCATTATGAAGCCAGTTATATTAACACAGAAATGCATCTAGAATATCAATAAATTGACCAATGAAATATTTTACACAATGTCATGAATGTAACCTTCTCTAGATAAAGATTTATGTTGTTATTGGTTAGATCTGGGTCAGTCACCTACATTTATTTATAGGACACTGACTAATCAAAGGAAGTATCATTATTACAAGTACATGTATTCTTTGGTTTAAACATCCACTTTTTAAAAATGGCTGACTTATGTTACTTTTACCTGAATTACCTGTACATGTCTAAATATAGTCAAATATGACTTTTGTATTTTAAAATTTTAATTGAAAATGAATTGATGATAAATACTGGGTTTTCCATTAATTTGTAAGGTGTTTAAATAAGAATTATGTCATTTCAAGGAAGAAAATTTCATCAGGTATATATAGATAATATATACAATGACAGGTGAACAATACATGACAAGAGAATACACCTACATGAATTGTCCAATGTTCTGATTGGCATTCGGATAATAGAAATAGTTCCATGAAAAATATAGTGAAATATGAGATTGAACTGTAATGCATTATGTCATCTGTTATATTTTACTTCTACATGTATGAATAACTTAAAATATACATCAGGGTCTGTTAGCAAGAAAACTAACAATCAAACTTTGGGCCTGCTATAAATGTATATGAGGCAATTTATGCAGTGTACAACGTATGATTGAATTATTCTATTGGAAGCAAATATATTGTTCTGGAGACTGAACTACATGTATGCAGTACACATGTATCAGTGTATATGAATATAAAAATAAGGAGATGTGGTAGGATTGCCAATGAGACAACTATCCACCAGAGACCAAATGAAGTGGATGTAAGCAATTATTAGGCAACTGTATAGTCTGCTATAAAAGGCCTGACATGAAAAATGTGAAACAATTCAAATGAGAAAACTAATGGCCTAATTTATAACAAAACAATTTACGAAAAAACAAATATAACATACTTCATGTACTTGCAGCTACTAGATTCCTATAACAGCAGATGTGCCTGTTTGATACAGATGCAGAATTCTCTGTTTCTGATTTTAAAGGAAAAGCTTATTTCCTTGTTTGTAACACATCCCCCACCCAAAAAATAATAACAATTTCACATTTATAGTTTAATTTCCAATTTGGAAAATGTTCAATGACTCACAACATTTTGATGTATACCAGATAGATGTATACCAGATAGATGTATATATACTACTTACTATACACGTTTCTGGGTATAAATTTGAAAATGTAACCCCAAATGCTTTACACTCTGAAAAGGTGAATTGACGGAAGGTGAAATCAGTGAGATGAAATGTTAATATTTATTTAGAGGAGTTGATCCAGTTTCAAGGGAGACAACTGCTGATACAACCATTATCATTCAAAGTCCCCTTGTTACAACTATTGTTTTCGATAACATTAGGATAAAAATCTAATCAAAAAAACTAATTTTGAAAATAAAATATAATCATAATAACATTAATGCATAAAACTTCTCATTATGTGAATAACAGTTTTCAAATGATGCAGAAAACAGATTTTATTAATCAGAACTGTTGCCTACATTTTACATGGTGGCATTATTTTGAACTTGAATGGTGGAGGACATTGTTAAACTTTTCTCAATGCTAAAAAGTGGATTACCGTTAAACCATATATGAATGTGGCAACAACTAGGGAATCCTCCAAAACAAAGATATCTTTGATGAAACTGTAAACTGTAAAAAAGGTATGACAAATAAATCTGAGATTGTACATTGTAGATAAATATAAGACTAGTACAAATTAGAACGTTGTTATAGTACTGTAACCAATGAATCTGAGTGAAAGAATTACATCAGTGAGAGTCGTATCATACCGACTACCAAAGATTTAACATTGATTGTCTGTAGAGCTTGACATAGAGATGAGTCCAAGATTGGACTTAGTAAGATATTACATCAGTGAGAGTCTTATCATACTGACTACCAAAGATTTAACATTGATTGTCTGTAGAGCTTGACATAGAGATGAGTCCCAGATTGGACTTAGTAAGATATTACATAAGTGAGAGTCTTATCATACCGACTACCAAAGATTTAACATTGATTGTCTATAGAGCTTGACATAGAGATGAGTCCCAGATTGGACTTGATAAGATATTACATCAGTGAGAGTTGTATCATACAGACTACCAAAGATTTAACATTGATTGTCTGTAGAGCTTGACATAGAGATGAGTCCCAGATTGGACTTAGTAAGATATTACATCAGTGAGAGTCTTATCATACAGACTACCAAAGATTTAACATTGATTGTCTGTAGAGCTTGACATAGAGATGAATCCCAGATTGGACTTCAGAATCACAATCTATCGAAGTACTACATCACATGTAAATACTGTGTCATATACTCATTGTAATGTAAATAAGTCTTTTTAGAACTTGATATAGGGATAAGCCTCACTTACAGATTGGACTTAAGAATCACAAGCTATCCAAGTATTACATGTACATCACATGTAAATTCTGTGTCATAGTAAATAAGGTTGTATGTAGAATTCACTACAGAGATGAAATTCACTTACTAGATTAACAGTTTACATGTATACCAATCTTCATGTTTGGGTTTAAGTAAAATTTGACAGAGATGAGATTCATTAAATACGGCTACAGATTACATATAGAATACCATATTCTTGCAACAGAAGATGGGACTGAATGTAGAATTTGACAATTAAATGAACTTAGGTCTAATGACCACCAGCATAGCCAGATTTGAGCGACAGATGGACAATGTATGTACCATGTGACACCAAAGAGTTCAACTAAGACATCAGCCCAACACACAAAACCAGTGAACCACTTGGAAGGACTGGTAAAATGAGAGTTTTACTGGTCAATGTCTGATTCAAATTTTGGAAATTTTAGTTATTTGATTATTGATTGTTCAGTGACCTATTCCCAAAAAAAGTGACAACTAACCTGTACTTATACAGAGTAGCCTGATATAGGACATACAACTAACAACCTGTACATATATAGAGCAGATAGCTGCTCTGATGGTACATATATAAATTGTCATATAGATGACAATAATAGGCAACTGGTTTCAATGTTGATTTCATTCCAAACCAGTTGATAAATTTCTGCTAGATAAACAACTATGAATATAAAATGATAAGTTGATGGAAGGACTTCCTTTTGAACTCCCTTTGGATCTGTTGACAGAATAATCATAGACATACATGAAGGGGGTTCAAAAAGTCTTGCAAAGTTGACAACCTACCTGCTAGATTCCTGTAACAGAAGATGGGGTTGTATGTAGAACTTGACACGGAGATGAAATCTGTGAGCCCTCATTTCAGACACTTGCTGATTAATTCTGTTCCTCATGTTCAGCCATATTTTTTCTCCTTTACTGCCACTAAATTGTAAGCCAAAATAATCATATTCAAGGATTCCAAGATGCTGGCAAACCTAATTAATAAAATAATAATAAACATTACAATGTGTTACAACATTGAAAGGAGGGAAATAAAAGATTATCTAAATGTTGTTGGATTATGAACAGATATATCATGTGACGTTAAGGAGGGGTATTTGCGAAAAATCCCAGTCGAGAGAATGTTAAATTTCGCGAGCCGTAAGGCGAGGGAAATTCATTCTCAAGACTGGTATTTTTCGCAAATACCCCTCAAGAACATGCTATATCTGTTTAATTACACAGAATGTTAACGTACAAAACACATTGATGATCGTGACATAAAACGCATTGATGATCGTGACATTACAAGCGTCCAGTCGGATAGAGTATTTTTTGGCAAATACCACGGCAGAGAGGGTAAAAAAGGCATATTCTTTTTGCATATACCCCGGCGCTGTTTAAAAATGAACGATATTCATTTGATAAAAGTAAATTGGTGAAAAATACACTGGCTATCAACCAATCAAAACCCAGGATTCTTACATAAGGTGTAATTATAATGTATGTCCACAGTCTGGCCAGGTAAATCGAGGGTCAAAAATCTACAGAAAGATTTTGTGAATTATTTACTGTAACATGTACAACTTCAGACAATGTGCATTGTGTAATCCATTTAGGTTTTAAAAATGCTTTCTTTATAGTCTTATTCACATCTCACCCATGAGAGTCTTTTTACATTGTTTGAAGTGTGTTCGATGAGAAATTGTATTTGGCACAATAAATACTATCTAAGCAGCATTTTTTTTCAGAATAACTACTTGTACACATAGTATATTCATCCTTACATTGTGTACTACAGTTCACTAACTGAGAACCCTGTAATCACCATAAGAAGGAAGCTAATGTATTTACCCAGTCACCCTGTCCATCATTTGTACCTTAAAAAATACTGAGGAAAGAGAAAAGAAAGTTTGGCAATGACCATCAGTACCAGAATGTTAACCCTGCAAACCATGGCACAATGCCAGGAAGTCATCTGTTATCAAGATTTTACAGAATTGGAAGTAAAAATAATTGTCAATAAATCAATGATTCTGTAATGTCATAATTGGACTGGTAATTCCAGTTTTGTAGTCATACAATTGACAGATATAAAACTAAACAAATTAATTTACACACTAAACAATTCATAAAATAGTTATGCACATTTTAGAATTTATACATGCACTTAGATGTTTATCTTTTGGCCAAAACTAAAAATTAAATTGATTGATACATGTATGTGCTGTCTGTATGTTTGTGTTGTATATGAATCTGATGTTATTACATATATGTTTTGTTTATTATCATCAGTCTGTTAAAGAGCTCTTAAGAGCTCATGTTCCTTGTTATTATGTATATACATGATCATTACATGTATGCAACCCGACTTTAAATAAAGATTACTTTAATTTACTTTAGGAACAGCATGAACATCTATGTTAAAATTGAACTTTATATTATTAAAAACTATCTTGGAACTTTACATGTTGCAAGAGGTGTTTTTTTTAGTTTCAGAAACACATTTCCTTTTTATAGAACAACTCAATACACATGCACTTATGTGTACTTGTGTGTATTGATTTATCTTCTGTCAAGTCAGCTGATTAAAGTCCAAGCTTCTTATTGAATCAACCACAAAGTCAAAGAAATTAGTTTATTACAAAAAAAACTTCGAACTTAGTAGAAATTTCTTAGAAATGAAATCGATTATTATGATTACAACATACACGGTAATTTTGACAGGTAACCGCTACGGGTTGATTGATCCTTTGTTTACATCAGATCACAGATTGGACTTTGGACCCTGCATGGCCATGTTCGATTTTTATGTACTTTCCCTTTGTCAATAGTAATTTTTCACAGCAGAAATACGTTTTCACATTTATAAAACGTTTCTCTATGATCATCATCAATCCACCCTCAATTAAATACAAAAATACTGCAGTAATAACGGTAATTAATCTTAAGTTTTCTCCCGAGAAAGTGGAATAAAATTTTATGGGTCAAGTTCGACTTTACCTGATCTAAGCATTCCTGTCCATTTGCTCTGATATCCACTTCGATTTCAATCACAACACTGTTCGGTAACACAACTGTAAAAATCATTTTGTTCAAATATGCTTCTTTACGCTTAAAATTTCATTTCTTCTCTTAGAATCATCTCTTGGACGTGTTGCTATATTTGGAGTCGTTGATCACATGGACTTTGACCGAGGTTCATTTAAGCACAGATTCTGCGCGAACGATTTATCCAATCAAAATGTTGATAAGGCGGTAACATAAAAACATCAACAATCCAACCACGTGTGGAAATGTCACTAATAGCTGCAATACATCTATGTATACTATTCCCAGGTATCACTGAATTTTGCTGCCGTCAACTATGATTGCAATTTTAAGATATTTCATTTGCGTTCAATTTAATTTTCAAAGGCATCATGCGGCCTGTCTGCAAATAAACTTCTATTAAACCCTATCAAAGGGCTATAAATGACACGCATATCAAGAAATACGTAGACCACACTGAGACTACTACATTAGGACCACACATATAATTCTTATATTCTACCAATATTTGACTACTTTTTCAGCACGGGGTATATGCAATGAAGAATACCTCCAGAGATTATAATCATGAAAGCTCAAAAAAAAGAACAGCAAGAATATTTTTTTATGTTCCTTTCTTTGCACCATCGAGAGAACTTTTTGACAGATTAAATTGGTTAAGTTTCCGAGACCGAATTTCATTTCAACCAATTCTAGTATACATTATTTTACACGATAACTCGAACTCCTGATTATCAGAAAAAGTTGTGTGTTCAGAGCTGTGAAATTTATGAAAGAAATTTAAGACCCGTCTTCAGCGGAGGAGTCCGTTGTTGGTACTGGGTGTGGTCTGTTGAACTGTCCAGTATTTCTGTCGGAGAAGTCCGTTGTTGGTACTGGGTGTGGTCTGTTGAACTGTCCAGTATTTATGGCGGAGGAATCCGTTGTTGGTACTGGGTGTGGTCTGTTGAACTGTCAAGTATTTCTGGCGATTCCTGTTACCATTTGTTATGTATATATATACCACATTAATGCAATTGATTTAGGAAAATTTCTATTGCGATCTGATTTCAATTAAGATTTTAACTGGCTTACCCGCCGAAATATAATCATAGCAAACACTTAGTTGTCATTTTAAATGTATTGTTTTGTTCATAGTAAACACTTGGTTGTCAGTTTAGATATATTTTTTTTGTTTTTGATGCAGCTTCTGGAAATTTTCTTTCTATTTTACGAATTTAGGAAATGATTCTTGAAAGAGCCTGACAAACCTTTAACAAGAACAAGATTCATCGTGTTGTGATGATCGTAACTTAAGGGTTTAAAGAACAGGAGCCTGGTTTTCGGAACTTTTCTAAAATATGTGTAAAAAAGCAGAGATTAATTATTCAAGGAAATGTGTAAAGAACCATGCAGTTAGAAAAAAGAGATTTGAGGCATGTGTAAATCTATATTATATATTAGAAAATGCCCATAAAAGGAACTAAAAACGAGAGGAACTTTATAGGAAATGTACAGGAAAAGACTAAGCAGAGAGGCTTGAGTGATGTGACTATATATTCTATTGAACAAAACCAGAAAAAATCCATTTAAATACATATCAATTACTTTCTTCCTTTCAAGAAAATTTACAAGAGAGACTTAACAAGGAGAGTTGTGCATAGACAATTTTTTTCACTTACTTACATACTTAAAAAATATTGTTGCAAAATATAGTTAACTCAGTGATTGAAATTTAAACGATATCAGCTGATTAATATTCAGCCCCATGTCGTTGGTTGCTGAATGTCATATTTATTTTTCATTTATTGTTTTATCATTAATCAAGCTGTTGGTTTTTCTCGTTTTAATTGGTTCATCATTAATCAGGCAGTTGGTTTTCTCGTTTTAATTGTTTTCTCATTAATCAGGCAGTTGGTCTTTCTCGTTTTAATTGTTTAATCAGACAGTTGGTTTTTCTCGTTTTAATTGTTTAATCATTAATCAGGCGGTTGGTTTTTCTCGTTTTAATTGTTTTATCATTAATCAGGCAGTTGGTTTTTCTCGTTTTAATTGTTTTATCATTAATCAGGCAGTTGGTTTTCCTCGTTTTAATTGTTTTATCATTAATCAGACAGTTGGTTTTTCTCGTTTTAATTGTTTTATCATTAATCAGGCAGTTGGTTTTCCTCGTTTTAATTGTTTTACATTTTGTCATGTCGGGGCCATTTATAGCTTACTATGCAGTATGTGTTTTGCTCATTGTTGAAGGGTGTACGGTGAACTATACAATCATACCACATTTTTCTTATATTATACCATTAAATTTCAATAAATGGGTTGACAATATTTTACAAAAATCTTTTTTCCGTTACGAAATAAATTCTCTGGTTTGACTTTGAGGCACTGATTTAAGAAAAATAATTTTGTTCTTGTAAAAGTCAATGAATAAAATTGAGAATGGAAACGGAGAATGTGTCAAAAAGAACCAACCCGACCAAAGAACAGAAAACAGCCTAAGGCCACCAATGAGGCGGGCTTCAGCTGGCCCCTAAACAAAAATGTGTACTAGTTCATAGAAAATGGACGTCACACTAAACTCCGAAACATACAAATGAACCAAAATAAAAAAAAAAAAAAACATACAAGATTTACAATGGCCAGAGGTTCCTGACTTGGGAAGTCAGTTTCTGAAAAGATAAATAATAAATTAGACATCTTTTCTCCAAGCAAAATACGACAACATATGCCCAACACCAAATCTATCACAAAAAAGTTTACAGATATAAGTCATGTTACCTGCAAGAAACAGTAAATTATATAAGGACAATGAGTATGATTGATATACAGAGGGAGCACATACTAGTAGAAACTAATGTTAAGACAATAAGTACTGCTATATAGAGGAAAAAAAGTAGGCTACACTGGAAACTAATGTTTGGACAATAAGTACTGCTATATAGAGGAAAAAAAGTAGGCTACACTGGAAACTAATGTTTGGACAATTAACGAATATTCATTTACAGACAAAAGCAGTAAACAATACTGGAAACTGATGTTGGGCCATATTGATACTCCTTTACAGAGAAAAAAACCCAGTAAACAACATTGGAAACTGATGTTTGGGCTATAAATACTCCTTCACAGAGAAAAAAAAAACAGTAAACAATACTGGAAACTGATGTTTGGGCTATTAATACTCCTTTACAGAGAAAAAAAAAAAACAGTAAACAATACTGGAAACTGATGTTTGGGCTATTAATACTCCTTCACAGAGAAAAAAAAAAAAAGAAAACAATACTGGAAACTGATGTTTGGGCTATTAATACTCCTTCACAGAGAAAAAACAGTAAACAATACTGGAAACTGATGTTTGGGCTATTAATACTCCTTCACAGAGAAAAAACAGTAAACAATACTGGAAACTGATGTTTGGGCTATTAATACTCTTTTACAGAGAAAAAACAGTAAACAATACTGGAAACTGATGTTTGGGCTATCAATACTCCTTTACAGAGAAAAAATAGTAAACAATACTAGAAACTGATGTTTGGGCTATCAATACTCCTTCACAGAGAAAAAAAACCAGTAAACAACATTGGAAACTGATGTTTGGGCTATCAATACTCCTTCACAGAGAAAAAACAGTAAACAATACTGGAAACTGATGTTTGGGCCATATTGATACTCCTTTACAGAGAAAAAAAACCAATAAACAACACTGGAAACTGATGTTTGGGCTATTGATACTCCTTTACAGAAAAAAACAGTAAACAATACTGGAAACTGATGTTTGGGCTATTAATACTCCTTTACATAGGGAAACAGTAAACAACACTGAAAACTAATGTTTGGGCTATTAAATCTCCTACACACTACAGTGGAAAAACGGTAAACAACACCGAAAACTAATTTTATGGGCTATTAATACTCTTATACAGAGGAAAAACAGTAAACACCACTGAAAACTGATGTTTGGGCTATTAAATCTCCTATACAGAGGGGAAAAAGTAAACAACACTGAAAACTGATGTTTGGGCTATTATTACTCCTATGCAGATGAAAAACAGTAAACAACACTGAAAACTAATGTCTGCACAAAGAGTACTCTTATACAGAGGGGCATACATTACTATATTAAATTGTGTCTCTAGTTTTATGTCTCCTTTTATTCATAGTTTAAATGTAACCACAAGTGCGGTTTAATTATTGATACGTTCCCCTTGTTGAGTTCAATGTACACATACAGCCAGATTTATTGCAGCCATATAGTTGCATAATTCTATTTCTAATTCTTATATATGGACAAAGATTTTGAATCGTAATAACACATGCAAAATATTATTGTAGAGTTTACAAACTACAGATCTTATACATGCCAATAATCGGTTTTAGTTTATGCACAGATATTTAGACTCGGGACAATTAAGTGCTTACATGTTGAGTTCAGCATGTCTTTTGTTGTAAAATGTTGAAAAAATAAGAAGAAAATGAAATACATTTTAGCTCACCTGGTCAATCTGATTAAAATTCAGATCTATCTTAAATCGCATGCTCGTATATATAATACGCTTATATGAGGATAACGAAATCAGAAATCTATATTTTACTTAGATTGCTCACTTGGTCAAAAGGGCAAGTGTGAGCTTATGCTATCAACTGCCGTCCCGATTCCGATAATTTTTACAAAAATCCTCTCCTCTGAAACTTCTTAGCCAAATTGAAGCAGATCTGACCACATTCATACCTTGGGTATCTTATTTAAGAAAGTTGTCCGATGATCCTTCCTGGCAACCTACCTGGCCGCAAAGGCTAAAAATAGGACATAGGAGGTAAAAAACAAGTATTCAATTTGTCTATTATTTTGAATACCGTTATAGATAAAGAAAATCTGACAGAGAAAAGTGTTTAGAATGTCAAGATTTTAAATATTGTCTATTTTGACCATGATTGTTAGATGACTCATGATTATTACAGGAGTTTTTACCCTTAGATGATGCTATTTTACTATTTCTTTAAAAGTTTTTGCCTATTATCTTGAAAATTATAAAAGATAAAGAGTTTTTTTTTGTTGGCAAACATGATCAGCAAGAAAAGATCTACATATAAGCCGATATGGTGAAATGGTCAGTTGACTTCTCTTAAGAGTTATTGCCCCTAAATGACTTTTTCCTTTACTATTCATATTTGGC